CCATTCGATGTTTGGTGCTTGAACAGAGCATACTACCGAGATCCGCTTCCACAGACGTATCTGATCTTGGTATCATTTTTCTGGAAACATTCATGTGTTATCTTGCAGTTGGGAAGGTAGGAGTTCATTGTCGGACTGTGGGGAACATGCTCAAAGGCTGGAGCAGATCAGATGATGTACAGTCAAAGCATATTTGTCCGGGGTTGTCTGGGCATTCATACGGCCATACATGAATATACATATACGCAATATATATATATATATATATATATATATATAGCTACATACTGTATCTGCAAAGACGTATTGCTTGTTTTGATGGGGCTTATGTCTAGCTTTCCGGGGCTGTTCAGGATCTACATTTTGCATGAGGGACCTGCTGATCTTCTGCGGAGCTTTAGGATTTCATTCGCGCGGAAGGCTTGCAGGTTCGGGGGTCTGTGGTCCTTGCGCCAGTACTGCTCCAAGCTCTAGACACAAATCCTAAACCCTAAACCCTTGCCCTAAACCCTAAACCCTAAACCCTAAACCCTAAACCCTAAACCCTAAACCAAGTTTCATGGCCCTCCAAGAGCTCCCTGGCCTTGCGCAGCTGAGCCTGCACACCAAGCTCTGCGTGTGCGCGCTGCTCCACGCAAGGCGCCAGCTTTTTCGCCCTAAACCCACAACCCTTATAACCTCCCAATAAGTTTAGGGGTTTAGGGTTTAGGGTAATTAAGATCTGTACATTATGATGTTCCCCAGTATACTAGCAGTCCTTACCCCAATCTATACAGCCTAGAAGCTCCGTAAAGCCCGTAAAGCCTGATTATTAAATGTTAAACCCTCAAACCCTACAGCTGCGGACCCCACGCCTTACAGCCCACCCTAAACCCTAAACCCTAAACCCTAAACCCTAAACCCTAAACTACTAACACCGAAAGACAAAGGCTTCCAGATCAAGCGAGTTGCGGGCCGATGAAGAGTCCTTGTGTCTTCAATGGTGGCACTCAGGCTTTCTGACTAGGGTCTATATGGGGGTTTAGGGTTTAGGGTTTAGGGTTTAGGGTTTATATATATATATATAGGGCCCTCATTCCCTCACCCCCTACGTAGAACCAGCCAGTATGTGCTGCATCCTGAGTCCCGAACGCTGAACCCTACAAGCCCTGAAGCACGGTCCTGGGCCCCATAAACCTATAAACCCTATAGACCTCCGAAACCCTAAACCCTAAACCCTAAACCCTAAACCCTAAACCCCACCCAAACCCTTAACCCGTAACCCTTAACCCTTAACCTTTGTTCTTAAAGCCCTCAGCCCATCCAAGCCTCAGAAAAAGGCTCGAAATCGTGTGGACCACAGACTCCAAGCCCTAAACCCTAAACCCTAAACCCTAAACCCCAAACCCTAAACCCTTAACCCTAAACCCTAAACCCTAAACCCGGAAGCCCTGAACATCCCAGCCTGGCATCCGCTGCCGGGTTGGGGGTTTTGGGGCATTTTTGGGGTTTCGTGGCTTTTTGGGGGTTTCGGGGTTTGGGGGTTTGGGATCTGGGGCTTTTGAGCTTGGGGTTCGGTGGTTTGGGGTTTTGAGAGTTTGGGTCTTTTGGACCCTAAACCCTAAACCCTAAACCCCAAACCCTAAACCCTAAACCCTAAACCCGGGTTTGGGGATTTAGGGTTTGGGGGGGCTTGGGGCGCGGGCCTCGCAGGCATCTCAGCGACATGGAAGGCGGCGAGCTGTCGCGAAAGATGATTCGGAAGGCGCCAGCAGGGCGGGGATGTGTTGGGGTGTTCCCCCTTATATGAACAGTCCTCAATAGGGATTATAGTTTCCTCTATGAGAATCCCTTTTGAGGACTCTTGTTGTAAGGGGGAAAAATCCCAAAGGATGTGCAACAAGAGGAGGCCGGTCTTTGGTGCGAGTTTGTCTCCAGGGAGTTTAGGGTGCGCAGCCCCAACAACTCCTAACCCTGAGTCGTGCCGACAGATATAACTGGTTGTAACCTTTGTTTAGGGTACTTATAAAACCCTACTTATAGCTTCCCATGAATCTTCAAGGAGCCCTCCGAACCCTTGAACCCTTAAAGCCCTAAGCCCTTCCGAGCCCCGAAAGATTCGTCATTGAGGGCTGCGTCAGGGCGCTGAAAAAGAATCAACATGGCGGGCTGAGCTAAACGATGTGGACCGTTAGGAACTTTGTCACAACTAGCCTCTTAGAGGTTCAGGGCGCCAAAAATGGTTACCAAAAGGGGGCCGTCATGTAGGTCAACTGCCACATAGTCCTCAGCTGCAAGCCGTGGCTGATCTTACCCTAAACCCGAAACCCTGAACCCTGAACCCTAAACCCTTAACCCTTAACCCTAAACCCTAAACCCTAAACATGGCCCTGAACAGCTCTCTGCGTGATGACCCAGCCCAAAGGATGAAGTCCCCAAGCCGGAACGCACGAACCCGAACCACCTAAGCCTACTGGAGCTTGGGGCGTTTTTTTGTTTTTTTTTTTTTTTTTCAGGGCCATGCGCGCACTGGTGCTTAGGGTTTTGGGTTTAGGGTTTAGGGTTTAGGGTTCTCAGCAGGAATTGGGAAGTTCGGAACCTCAGACTACCCTTTCCTCACCGGCTTCACTGGGGGGGGCTTGTGGCTCGAACCACAAAACCCAGGACCCAGAAATTGGGGTTTAGGGTTTAGGGCTACTAGGACCCAGAGTAGGCTCCTATTCCCCGTTTTTTGGGGTGTACGTTCCCTTGGAATCCCGGTTAGACCAAAAAGGGTACCCTTTTTTGTACCTAGGTTTGTCTTGGGTCATCCTAAACCCTAAACCCTATTCCTAGGTTACTCCTGGGTCTAGCGCCCCAGGCCAAGAGGGTTCCTACCTCTCACCAGAGGTGGGTGCTGGTGAGAGCTTCATGCGCAATATGGACCACAGCTCCGAGGCAAGTAGGGCTTGGGGTTTAGGGTCTTCGGATTTAGGGGTTAGAGCTCAGGGCCTGTTGGGGTCAGCGATCTGAGGGTGAGGGTTGGTTTTTGGGATTTAAGGTATGAGGTGTAAGGCTGCATGTTGTTGTGGGCCTGAGATGAAGTTTCGTGTTTCAGGTGAGGTTCAGAGTTTAATGCTTGGAGTATGAGATCTACGGCTGCTTGGGGCTTGCACTTGAGGGGCGGAGGCGGGGGGCTGAGGGCTGGGGGCTTTAGTTGCTCGGCGTTTGCTTTAAAAGAGACGGCATTTGGGTTTAGGGTTGAGGGTCAGCTTTGCGCACGTGCACAGGGCTTTGCGGTGTCAAGGTGGGTTTGCTGAGCAGGTAGCTTTGCACCTTTTTTGGACCCGAAACAACACGCCGAAACCATCCGAACGACCCTCTTCAACCTTCCACCCTCCGAAAAACCCTGAGCCCGAAACCCTAAGCTTGTTAAACCCCGACACCCCAAAAGCCCAAAAGGGCCAGTTCTCCAAATGATGTTCCCTTGTGAGGGTTCCCTGAATTACACTAAAGACCCGGTATCCTCGGTATCGTGATAGGTGCCTGAAAAGCGGCCCCCTCATGACCTAAACCCTCCACCATCATCGCCTAAACCCCCTAGACCCCGAAGCCTGCCCAACCCCAAATAAACCCCTAAACCCTAAACCCTCAATCCCTAAACCCTTAACCACTAAACCCTAAACCCGAAAAACTCCCAAGCTCGCAAATCCCAAACCTCTCCACCCTAAACCCTAAACCCTAAACCCTAAACCCTAAACCCTAAACCCTAAACCCTAAACCCTAAACCCTAAACCCCCCATGTTCTGCCGCCAAGGCATCGGTGACCAACTTGGAGTCCTTGGTTACCATGGCCCAGGATGGTGTGGGTTTTGGGGGTCTGTTGTTTGTTTGTTTAGGGTTTAGGGTTTAGGGTTTAGGGTTTAGGGTTTAGGGTTTAGGGTCTGTTGCTTGTTCATGCTTTCTTTGCTGGTTGCTGAGGGTTGATGGCGGCGGGGTTGAAGCATGAGGATTTAGGGTTAGGATGTTCCCCGAACCCTCTTCAGCCCAGGTTTGCTTCTATGATGTGTGTATGGAGGGCTTTCGGACAACAGGGTGCCCGCCGTTCATTCAGAAACTCACTCACGCTTTTTGTAAGGTTATCTCCGTGTGTTCCCTTCACGGTCTTTGTTTCGTTCGCGCCTTTAATAAAGTTTACGCGCTACTTTCATTCGCTCGTAACTTTATTAATTACGTTCCCTTCATAGTCATCACATGCACCTCTTAATGTCTCAGGCAGTTGTACGTGAGCTCTTCAAGGCCGGCTATAGTAAGAGCTACATCCCAACCTTCCCGAAAATCCCTAGAAGTAGTTGTTGGGCGATGGGATAATGGTATTAATATTGGCATGAATGTAATCGCCGAACGGCAGAAGGTTATGGCGCTATGAGATTGTAGGGGAATGGCCACTTATAGACTCCTAGACCTAAACATGCTGTCAACCCAAAAGCCGAAACCCGCAAACCCAGACACATCGCCGCACGCCATTCTCACTTGCTTGCGGCTCACTCATCGGTGCAATCTCGAAGTATGAGATGTTGGCTATGCATCGCACTAGACGCCAAGTGCCAGATACAAGTACGCCCGCCAAGAGTCAGCACACAGCCGTCATTTTTCGAAGTATGTTGCGACGAGTTATCTCATGTTGTAGATACTCAAGAGTCCTTCCATCAAGCATCTCGGGGCCATCTCCACAGCTGGCAGTGCTGCGGGCGCCTCGCGTATGCCGAAAGGGCAAGCTATATGACCGCATTGACCGTCTGCGAGCCCCCATTGTGCGAAGAGTGCCAGGCACCGAAGCTAGGTAGGCCCTGGGGATATTTTTTCTTGTTCCCTTACTGGGTTTAAGAGGCTGATATTCAAAAGAGTATATTCCAGACGGTTTGAAGGGTTACCCCTAAACTTTGAGAGGGTTTTAAGGGCCGTCCGAGGTTTCTTGTCACGGTGGTGGCAGCAGTCTGACGGAGCCGACAGAGGACGAGAGCAGTGGGGCTTCGCGATCTATGCCACAGGACAAGGGACTCAAACATGGACCTGCAAGCATGTACCCCGAGGAGGTTCCCTTCATAGACTCCTAATGTGGCCCTTCTATTGCCTTAGAGTCTTGGAGGATCTTCAAAAAAGGGTTTCCCCAAACCCAGAGCTACAAGTGCGGAGCTCCAAGTTTGAGTCCCTTGTTGAGGGTTTAGGGTTTAGGGTTTAGGGTTTAGGGTTTAGGGTTTAGGGAACAGGACCAGCGGGACACCGATGCCCCAAAGTGGCACTCCGCGGAACGAGATGGCCCAAGGGAATCTCGGTGGGCCTTTTGGTGGCCCTTTTTGGTCGGTTTTTTGCCCTAAAAAGTCGTGCTTTATTAGGAGGATCAGACTCTGCAAGATGTTCAAAGAGGGGTTTTAGGGTTTAGGGTTTAGGGGTTTAGGGTTTAGGGTTTAGGGTTAGGGCCATCCGAGGAATCTGCAGGGAGCGCTGGACATCCTAGCATGTGCAAGCCCTGCGCATTCTACTGCTTCACACTCATTGGCTGCCGAGCAGATCGTGACTTACTTCGCCTTTAGTTGAACTCGACACTTTTGGGGTTTCCTTATTTAGTAGGAATATTAAAGTTTAACCTTTCTTCCCCTTGGTTGTTGGAGAAGTAAGGTGATTGCACCTACTGCCACCTTTTCCACCCCTCGGGGAGGAAGCAGCGCCGGACCCATCGGAGGCAAGAGCAGCGCAAGAGGTGCAGCCAAAGGATGCAGACGACAACGCCACTCGTGCCAGCTGGCGCGCAGCAGCCAGAAGCCGTACTCATGATGGGGGGGGAGGGGGGGGGGGATTTCGAGTCCTTCAACGTGATTGCAGAGCCACCTGATGTCCCACTCTCCTGGATGCCTCCCCCTGGACTGGAGCAGCCGACGCGCACTGGATCCGCTCCAGCAGACCTCGCTGAGTGCGGCGGGCCGTGCTCATTGCGCTCACTGCATCTTGCCACTGCCCACCATGTGCCTTAGGGGTACTTGGAAGTAACTTTTGACTTTTGGGAACTCTAATTCCCAACAAACAGCTAAAATTGCAATTTTTGCTGGGGTTCCAAGTGCAGTAAAGGTACTACTACCAGCAGAAGCCGCCACCGGGCCGGTGGCGCCATCTCAGCTCGGGCTGCTCCTTCGGGTGGCGCTGGCTTTGAGGCTTCTACGCATCAGGATGGCCGAGCTGGAGACCATCACCGCGCTAGTGGGTTGAGGCTTGAAGGTTGAGGGCTTCTAAGTACGGGTTTAGGGTTTAGGGTTTAGGGTTTAGGGTTTAGGGTTTAGGGTTTAGGGTTGTACCTTGTTACGTTTCGTCAGATTTCTAGGACACTAGCATGGGGCAGTTCACAGGGTCTTATATATTATACATATGTGGGCCTGTATAGGGAGAATAATGCTCACTTCTAGGGTTCCTTGGTCCCGAAGATAGTGACGCATGATGATTAATTTGGCCGGGGCATTCTCTCGCACCACCGGGCGAAAAGGGCTCCAGATGGGGTGCAGCACTGTGTGCTGGAGCTTGCTACCTAAACCCGAAACCCTAAACCCTAAACCCTAAACCCTCTCTAACCAAACCCTAAAGCGGGAAACGGGCTTCCACCACACAGATGTACAGCCAAGCATGGCACTCCTTTCTGGTGCGATTCGCCTGTGTGCACCGCGCGGCCACCGCATAACAGCTTTTGCCACAGTCTCTTGGGGCCGCATGCATGCCTTTAGGGTTTAGGGTTTAGGGTTTAGGGTTTAGGGTTTTAGGGTTTAGGGTTTCCTGTCGGGTTTGGGGTTTAGGGTTTAGGGTTTAGGGTTTCGGGTAGTGTCGCAGGTGTCTTGGGGTCTCTTGGTAATTCACCAGCTGCGGATGACCCATCTCCCAGCCCCATTCACATCGGCAGTTCTCCCAAAGGCCTCTGTTTTGCCACAAGGGCGCCCCTCGAAGTGGCAATGTGTCACCGGCAGAGTCTATGAACTCTGCGGCCTCAACTGCAAAACCCTAAACCCTAAACCCTAAACCCTAAACCCTAAACCCTAAGGCTGATCCTGGGTTGCGGAGAGCCCGCATCCCCGACTCGCTTCGGCGCAGCCTTGATCTGCCCTAGGCCGAATAAACTCTGAAGCTTCCTTTCTGCAAGCCTCGGTAGCCCAGTGGTACCCTTTACCCTCTTTTTTTGTTTAGGGGTTCCCCCGCAGAAAAAATCACCAACCCAAGAAAGGGTGCCCTTAATCATAATATGGTTACTGGGCTACCAAGTTTCTGCAGCCTGGCTACATGTCAGGTGCAGGTTACCTTAGGGGCGGTAGCGTGTCTGCTGCCTTTTCCCTGCTCTTGAAGGTTCATGGGTACTTGCTATGAGTAGGGTTTGAAGTACCTTAGTTAAGGTTATAATCGAGCTTACTTTGGAAAAAAGCCCTTTTCATCCCCCCAAACCCGACACCCTGAACCCTAAACCTTGCTTATCACTACCCATGCACCCCCTAAACCCTAAACCCTAAACCCCTTCAAGCAAGACCCAGCCGCTCGGAGTTTTGATCTCTGCCACGAAGAGGTCCGCGCCTCCTGGGAGCTTTGGCCACAAGAGCCCACTTCAATGACACAGGATGCAGGTGACAGGGCATCGGTTTAGGGTTTGGGATTTAGGGTTTAGGGTTTAGGGTTTGGGGTTTAGGGCACACACCCAGTAGAGGTTCAGAGGATGCCAACTTGCCTCCGAAAGCAGGGCCGCATCGCGAGTCTGCATGCGAACAGATGCATCGGTACTTCAGTTTTCAGTCGGCTTGCGTGCCCAGAGAGCCCAATACCCCTTAGTGAAGGAAAATATTCCTTAAAGCCATATAGGGATCCTTAGCATGATTCATAAGGTATATTCCATAATGAAGGGGCATTAGGCTTTTTGGGTGGTGGGTTTCTTCTTGCTATTTCAGTACGTGGTATGGCTTCTGTTTTGAGGGGTTGGGGCAGAAAGCGAGGCAACTAGCCCTAAACCCTAAACCGCTAAAGATCACCTTGTGAGCTTAGGACCCGACGTGATCAGTATATTAGAGTCCGTAAGCGCCAATCCCAAAGCACCTCTTTTGTCTGTACATATATGTATACACACACATAGCTATAGGGTTTAGGGTACTGTAGAGGAAATACCCAGATTATTGTGCTTCAGGCGCATGTATGTACACATGACATCATGGCCAGCAATTGGGCTTTGCACCTTGTGATATAAAAACACACACACACACACACACACACACACACACACACACACACACACACACACACACACACACACACACACACACACACACACACACACACACACACACACACACACACACACACACACACACACACACACACACACACACACACACACACACACACACACACACACACACACACACACACACACACACACACACACACACACACACACACACACACACACACACACACACACACACACACACACACACACACACACACACGCCCGCGCAATACAAATCCCATCGGTTTTCCTCTGGGATTTGGTCCACACCAGCTCACGTTCTTATACTGCCCCCGAAACCTTGCCCCAAGAAATTTCCTGCGTGTTTGAAGAGTTCGGCCATTGGGGCCGTAAACCCTTAAAACCCTGTCTCCCTTTGATTTGCCCCTGTTTATCCCTGAAGATGGCCCTATGTCCAAAAGCCCTTGCTGCCTGACGAGGAGATCTGCAAAGGGCGCGAGGCCAAGGCACCAGCTACCTCCGTGGTGCCCAAGCTTCAGGCTTTGAAGGTTTTTGGGCCTCAGGGTGTAAAGGGCTTTCCCGACACCCTAACCCTAAACCCTAAGCCCTAAACCCTACACCCTAAACCGCCTTGAAGGAGCCTTGGATTTCCTTAAGATACCCGCCACGCCGCATTGTCCGTGATCCTTCGACGCCTGGTTGTTAACAGCCCTACCAGGCCTGGAAGGATTCGAGCCCAGGCCCAGGGGTTTACGAAAATAGGGGACCCGAAAATAGACCCAACTAGTAGATAAATTCGGACCCCAGTAAGGCACACCCCGAGTTTCGGAAGCTCTCATATGTATTAGATGTATATTCGATTAACCCTAAACCCTAAACCCTAAACCCTAAACCCTAAACCCAAGGGGGGTGTAGACTTTCGGGTTTCTACCCCGCAACAGGCAGCTGAGATGGCCGAGCTGCGCAGGAGCTGGGCGTCGCAGAGCCGCTTGGCCGGACCTGAGGGCGGCTTGGAGCTTTGGGTTTTCGGGTTTAGGGTTTTAGGGTTTAGGGTTTAGGGTTTAGGGTTTAGGGGTCAGCTGTACGCAGTCGTATGGAGACATACCCACCCCAAGTCCACCCAAACCGTTACGCAAAACGAACCAAACGCAGCAGGCCGAGCCTAAGCCAGCCAAGCCGATTCTGCGCACACTTGGGATGTTCCCCTTTAATTGGATTGGGGTTTAGGGTTTAGGGTTTAGGGTTTAGGGTTTAGGGTTTAGGGTTTAGGGTTTAGGGTTTAGGGTTTAGGGTTTGGGGTTTAGGGTTTAGGGTTTAGGGTTTAGGGTTTACGGGGCCAAGGATCTCCCTCAGACGTTTGCGCTGGTAGGTTGTCGGGTTTGTGCAGACTCTTGGGTTGAAGGCTTAAGACCCTAAGCCTTAAGTGCTCAGCCACCGCCTTTCAAAAGGTGAGACGGCTCGGGCGGCGTTGGCCGAGGCAAGTAGTGGGATGTGGGCTCTCCCAGTAGGTTGTGACGCTGTAGGGCCACGAGCCGAAAATTTTCCGGGCTTCCATGATATCATGTTGTGGTATGGCATGCGATATGGGGGTTTCCGAAACTAGGTGTACTTTTTGGGGTACTTACAATAGGGAAATGTTTTACTATTTGGGGTATGAGGGGTCCCTTAGTTTCGTAAACCCCCATGTCTTTGCCATATTTCAATTGCGACTTGTATCTTCGTAGACCTAATCCCTAAACCCTAAGCCCTAAACCCTAAACCCTAAATAGGATTTCTGCGGGGTCTGCGGGGCATTCTTATGGCAGCACTTCCGCAACCTCCCAAGGGCGGGTTCCCCCATTTCGGGGGTTTTGGGGATCTGCCGCAGAGTGCAAGCCCCATACACTAAAAGATGAAGACCCTAAACCCTCTACCCTAAACCCTGAACCCATACACGAAAAGAGCAAGAGCAATCCCCAGAATTTGGGGAAGCTTCTTGCTTCAGAGTTTACATGTTCGTCTACGTCAAGTTTTGCGGTTAAGGGTTTTGCATTTGGGGGTTTGGGATCGGTTTTCGGGGTAAAGAAGGTTGAGTGTCACATACCGAGCATGAATACATGGTTGTTTCTGGTCCTATATTTGACCCAAACAGACCTTTCAGGGTTCTTCTGTTCTCCCGACACGGTCAAGGCATTTTAAGGTCCCATGCTTGTGGTCTTAGAATGGTCTGTAGGCAAAAAATGGACTTTACGCTAGGCAAAACTCTGAAATTATTGCCGAGCTCCATCGGCAACAGCACCCAGCAGCCTGCAAAACCCACCTTTCGACA